CATCTGTGAGGACTTGAAATTGATAGTATGACAAATGCGGGCGGAGATCGAGTGTAAAGCTTCAGGGTTGACCCGATACGAGCAAGAGCTTTGAATAAGCTGTATTCGTGAACCTCTTAAGGAGTCGTGCACGTAAAACGTGATTGGAATCAGAGCGCCAACCAGTTAGTCAGCACGGCCTTACACCAGCAAAAGGGAGTCGAGCCGATACCGGAGGAAGAATGGTCAGGTTCGTAAGCGATCAATCAATCGACAGAGTTGCTAATCCCCCAAATTCTCATGTGAGCTAGTGATATTCCGCTGACAGCGGTCAGCACTCCGAGCGGAGACCTTGGTCTTTCAGTGTGGATGCCGATCCCTCATTGGTAGGTCCCGGTCTTTCAAGGTGGATCTCGGTCCTTCGTCGGTGTACCCTCGACTCCGGTCCCTGGAGGTCAACCTTGCCAATGGACCTTGGCACCTTAGGTAGACCTCGGTCCTTCATCGGTATACCTCGGTCCTTCATCGGTAGACCTCGGTCCTTCATCAGTGGACCCTTGATCCCGGTCTCTGGTGGTCGACCTCGGTCCAGAGGTCCAAACTTTTTAGTCATTCAGAACCAAGAATCAGGTCTCAGGGTAAAGATAGAGTAAAGGAGTTAAAGATAGGACTTTACTAAATACTACTCAATTTGCGATCTACGTAGCACGCCTCTGTCGTGCTCACAAGGAAATTAACTAAGTATACCCACCTGTTCCGGGAAGAAATAGATTTTGGCTCCCCGTCGAAGACAGTTGTGTGGTAAGACCCAAGTGCGAATAGAACCACAGGATACATTTGACCTGTGAATTTGTCTGAGTAGCACCCCCCCCCCAATCGACCCGCTATCGGAAGCGGTCTCCCTACCCTAGTGGTTCGGGAGCAAGTAAAGGCCAGGCGGTTAACACCCCTGAGATATCAAGGAAGGAAAATGCCAGGGTTGAGAATCTCCCTTGAAGAATTTGGTTATAAGCCCACCCTCGACCTATTCGACCGAGTGGACACCTACTAGCCTACTGAGTGAAGTATATCCACTCGAGGAACCCCAAGGTCGACCTCTTTCAAGGCCGGTATCTGATCTCAACCAAGTCCTCCGAAGAGTGCAACCCGCCAGCCGACGGGTACACAAGGTGAGAGAAGATCTAAACGCGGCATCGGGTACCCCCTCCGACAGTTGGCAGTCCGGCACAGTGAGTGGCTTGGGGTCTCATTACGCAGTTTTGAGAGCCTACTCCGCCACAATGGTGCGCGTGCCCGGATCTTCGAAAGACGCGGGATACACCGCGAATTTCAAGAAGACGAAAACGTTCAAGCAAAGATTGAGGAAAAGACCGAAGAGTCACTAGAAGACCGATCGCCAGTGACTACACAAGGAAACAACAAAGGATCGAAAGACCGACCGGATTTTGGGATGGGTCCGGTCAATATGTTCAAGGTTGAACTTATTGAAGAGAAACCAAATATCCTCTCTGCACGAATTGCATTAGTGGCTTTGCTACAGTAGGTTGACTACGCCTAGTAAATACCTCAACTGGGTTTGCGACTACTTCTCTGCGTGAGAATGGACATCGAAGAGATGTCCGTGGCTGGCCCATTACAGGAAACAGGAAAGGTTGCAATATCTTCTCCCTATTCTTGGCCCAAAAGGAGTGTAATACCTCATCGCCCAAGGCGACGAAGAGGTTTACAAGCGTAATCATATGCTTGAAGAATATAATAAAGCTCTAATTGAGCATGTAAAGGCACAGATTCCTTCTTCTGCGCCTTGATAGCGAACAGCTATATACACTCGTCAATGGTTTGACTGCCTCCGAGCGGGCTCTAATCTTGAGGTCGTTCACGACAATCAGTTGCTTTGCTATAAGATGACCAAGTTTTAGCACCGGTATTATCTATCGCTGCTGTTCGATCGCACGCTTCATACTAACTACCGCCGCTTACGCTCCTATATCACGATGCGAAACTTGTGCCAAAGATTGTTGCTTTTTGCATACGGAAGGTATTGCCGGATCTCATCCGTGACGATTAAAGTGAATTCATCCCTGGTAGTTCCATTCGTCGTCACCCATTGCTTCGCTTTCAAGATGTTCAAGATTATTGCAAGCTTCGTCATCCCGATGCCTGCGCCGTAATGATGGATTTTGCCAAGGGTTTCGACAGCGTCTTATGGACTGCGCTGGACTATGAACTTAATCACATTGGTTTTGGTCCAACTTTTTGCGCCTGGATCTAGACATCATATAATCAGACTTCTGTAAGTATTCTGCTCAAAATAGATCGCCTGGTGATCCCTTCGTGTTGGGAACCGGCGTTCTTCAAGGTGATTCATTATCCCCTGTGCTTTCGTCGAAACAATGATATTGTTGACGCAGCCTTTTTCTCGTCGCGTCATTTTAGTGGATCCTTCTTTGGAGCCACATTTACTACTGGCTTAGACCGGCTTACTTGAAACCATAGATGATGCTAAAGGTTTGATTCGTTTAGTAGAAGACTACTCTAGCTCGACTTGCCTCCGCCTTAACGTCGGTAAAGCATGTGTGATTCCGTTGTATCACCACATTACGCCCTCCTAATACGCCCTCATAATTGACTGGTCTTCGTGACACGTCACCCTACAATGTTTTTGGCGTGACGGACACGGTGACACTTCTTGAAATTCCTCAAGGCGACACTATCACGCCTGATGCGCATGCAGCAGTGCACTGGTGATGCTTAGGGCGTGCTGTGCTATTTGAAACTTTCGGGTGCGTACCTTCGCAGTAAAGCTGTCCTTCTCCAAAGCGTCATCTTGACGCTTTTTTTGGTATGCATATAGCGCAACGAATCCATCAAACCAAGCGCGTCCATCTAAGCAAAAAGAGCACCACGCCCGGTGCCAGGATGGTACGGATCGGGGACCTTTTAATCCAAGTAGCTGTCCAAGGTTACGCTAAATTCCCGACAACAAGGTGCCGGGCAGTACGGTCAGCAGCCGTATCCAGAAACTCAGTCGGAAGCATACGAAAAAATTTGTACGTTCCGATGGTTCATCCGGAGCGTAAACCACGTAAATAGAAACTGGATCACCGCCCAGCCGAGCCTGGAGGAGAAGGTACTTGTTTGTAAGAGGTAAAGAGCAGACACCAGCCGTAAGGTCTTGAACTTCCTGGAAAAGCGTAGCTAAGGAGAGAACAAGGACCACACCATGGCGCCCCGTAAAAGCAGGCGAAGAGGAGTCGGACCAAAAGCATTGCACACTGGAGTCTGCCGCAAAAATAAAATACTCGTTGGAATGGAGAGCATAAGGGTTGACAACGTGGTTTCCTAAAACGCGACCAGTTGATACGCGGAAAGAACACGCTCGTACAGCGTTAATGGTGGGTGGTTTAACCCATTGATGTTGAGGAACAAGCAAAAGATACACGCCGATTTAGAGGTAAGCAAAGACCACCTGACTAGACGAAGTCAATAACCGCGGAAAGAGAAATTTTTTTGAGGGCTTGGACAGCACTGCGAATGTCGTCTGGGGTACGCATATCCGTTAAAAAGACAGCTATTACATTCGACCGAGTGACACACTACAAGTTTAGGCCATTACAAAGCAGGAAGGGTGTGTTGTGGAGCCGTTTGATGGCGAGACGGTTCGGTAGCAGTAAACTCCAGGTGCAAAAATCATCAAAGCAAGTCACACGTGGTTCAGGACAGGCAGCACGGCGTAGCTCGTCATCCTCAAAAACGTAGTCGAAAAGTTGAGCCATAGTATACCAGGAGCAGCAAAGTTTACTTGTAGATAGAAAACCATGTCTTTCAGGCCGTCAGGGAGTTGGATTCCGCGCGTAGCTTGATAGACTGCATGAGTGCGATACGTGCGGTCCTACCCCCCCCCCCATCATTCTCTCATGTTCGTCGCGCTCGCGCTGCAACGACCTTATCTTCACCATGCATTCGTTCAAAGTGGTGAGTGCCAGAATCTTGTCGTCAGTCGCCGATCTCCTTTTGCGAGCTGGCGAGTCGTGAACGATTGTGGCAGCGCATGCTGGTGAGGCCGCGCGGGGGGGTGCCGGAAAGCCGGCGAGACCCTTGTGTGACCCGGTGTGGTCTTCGTGTCACTCATCTAAGCCATAGGGCTCATACATAGCCTGCTAAGCACTTAATACGTAGCTAGACATTTTTTTATATTAGCATGTTATAGCCTCCTAGCTACCTTGTGTCCTACACCCTCTGGTCCAACCATTCCACAATGGTTGGCCGCTAGACCACTTCACTAACCACTTACGCAGACTATGCGTGACAAATGTAACGACCGGCGCCAATCACATACTCACGTGTCCTTTCGTAACACCACAATCCGTCTCATCTTCCGTGTTCACCTTCCAGCACCATCTTCTACGCTCACCTTCCAGCACCATCTTTTACGCTCACCTTCCAACATGAACATACTTACATCTAACGTATTTTCACGTCTTAATCGCTTTATATTTGTCGTATCTTGACACCAAAAAAGACATGAAACATATTAGTCATCTTCATCTCATTCAAATCGCAACATATTTTTTTCTACCAGGTTTTTCTTTTGTCTTCGTCCTTGGGTCGTCATTTTCACCATGAATCAAGATAGCGATTTTTAAAGGAAACTTGGCTATATTGTTAATACTAGCAACTTATCTTGGCAATCATTTGTCTCTCTTCATACGATTATATATGGCCAGTAACGAAGAAGTAGAATTGCGAATTGGGCGGCAGCATGAGTAAAATTTTGGGTGGTTGTGCTTGCATCAATGCGCAACAAACGACTAAATGCTATGCCCAACAAATTCATTCCTTAGCCACTTCATTGTACACAAAGCATCGTATCAACCGATAGCAAATATCAACCTATAGCAAATATCAACCTATAGCAAATAACAACCGTCGCCATGTGTAAACAGCAACACCAAAGGAGCAAAGCGCATGCACACAGTAAAAAAAGGGCCTGAGCAATTCTTGCGCTCTATATCCTGAACTTAGTAAAACGTATCATACTCGGACCAACCCGTGCTGTACAAGCTGCTCGTAGACGTAGTGCCACGCAGTAATGGTTTCAGCTCACAGCGGCGACGCTCGATATGCGGTAGCAAGATGCGTGCCTTTTGGCCTGATGTCAGCTTGATGTAGATTGCGTCGTCCGTGATTGACGAAACCGTACCCGTGTAGTCTTCATGCACGAGTGGCATTGAAATTTGCACTTCATCTCCATCCTCGAATATATACTTACCGCAAAACAACCGTCGTCGCTCAAGCTTAAACGGCACTGCAGCAGCAACAAACAGCAAAACGTGAGTCCATTTTGCGATAACTAGTGCAAAGTATTCCAGTATTGCATATCTTACAATTGCCATTGCTCGGTAAGAGCTCAACCATAGATCTCGCCGTCTCTTTACGGTCACCCACAATTGCTGCAATGTCGGCACTGACGTCGTCGAACGGTAAGCGCACAATCTCAACTGTGAGCAACTTCGACATATCGACCGGATCTGCATTCATTAGCGGGTCTATTTTGCGTCGTTTAACCATAGAAGTTCCCTTTGTCGTTGATAGTTGCTCCGGCACTTCCCCCTCTTCCTTCTCACTTTTAGTTACTGGCTTATTTTTACCCTTGTCGTCCTCAACAACAGTAACATACACGGAGGGCTTCTCAGTACATGTTATCCGCGCACCTTGTTGATGCGGGAATGTTGCACAAACACCGACTACCCTGGTATCAGGATCAGATAGCGCCTTCATCTCCGTCTCAAGCTTGGCCATCAAAGCATCCACCTTGGCCAGCAGTTCTTCCTGAAGGCCTTTCCGGTCGTTGTCCCACAAATGATGAGCACGCTGTACCTCAAATTGGTAAAGGTCGTGGCCGTTCTTGAGCTGCAGATTCTTGTGCAGCTCTGCTGTCTGCAGCAGTCGCTTACGATCCTCTTTGAATGCAGCCACACGTCGACAAAACTCAGCAAGGGTTCCATCCTCCACCATTTTTTTCTTCTGCTCTAGCTCGGCCATTTGCTGATCAAGTCGTGCACGTTGTTGATCTCCAGTCAATTGATCAGAAGCCAAGGAAGATGCTGAAGTAGATGAATTGTTTGACACAGTAGACAGTGAACGTGTACGTCCTCCATTATCTTCCTCCATCTTTACGGTCTCTTCTCCTTCTTCTTCGTCTTCATCCTCCTCCACCTCCTCTTCATTTCTCAATTGTAACACACGTCCCTCCTCTGAGTCACACATAATCTTGCGTATATCTTCTGATGCTTTGCTTGTCTTGTTACGTCGTTGTTGTCTGCGATGAGAAGCGTCTGCATTGTGACCAGCCGAACTCGCGTCCGTATCGGCACCATCTGAAGTGGAATCAGCCGTAGAACTCCGTGTTTCGCGCATGGTGCGACTACGTAGCCTTGTACTACTACTTGTGTCACTGCTAGGATCACGTGAACGGTCTTTGCGACTGGAACGATCCATGGACAATGGATCGGAAGTGGTGAAGACAACCGACCGGTGACTTTGTTCAAGAAGTGGTCTTGTCTCTGAATACATCCGACCAATTGGCTTCATTATTACCAAATAGAGCCTCTTTATATGCTTTTATGTTTTAACCGTTTAGGACATTTTGCATGGATTAAAACGAGTTTTATACACTTTACTGCAACGCTACCTGCTTTTACTCATATTTGTACCGGTAATGTCAGCTAAACTGTGTGTATTATCAATAAATAATCAGCTATTAAATGTCACTCTTCTTCCTGCTATCCAAGTCTTTTGGTACTGTAATTAAAGATCATAATACGCGCATAAGCATTCACGAGATCACGAGAGCAGATATTTGGTATCAAATCATCTATAGCACCTTATTTATGGGCTTGTTGCTTGACCGTAGAATAATAGCATATTCGAGGACTGTACCCTGGGCCTTTGTATCAGTCGTTTGAACAGCATATTGATCGCAAACATGGCGTGCAAAAGTGTCAACTAAATTAGTATTGACTCGATGCATGATGTCTGCCTTAAACTTACACATACAATGAAGTGAACCAAGGATAAAAAGCAAGATTTGGCGTCATGGATCTGGATTGCATTGTTGATGCGCACTAGATGATGGTCAAGTACAGGTACGCTGAAGCCAGATACAAAGTCGAGTACTTGCGCTTGGTGGTAAGGAAGAGAAACATGCGACCATTATTCTATCAAAAGTCAAAGCGATTTGCCAAGGCGACTTTTTCGTAGTCTTTTGGAAGTGCCACCATCGCGATCGGCGTCGCAATGTGTGAGTCAAATCACGAGCCCAGACTTGTAATGACACTGTAAATAAACAATAACTAAACAATGATAAATCAATTATAATGCCACATGAACTAATCTGAAAAACGGTACGCGAGGTATTGCTGTAGAGGTCAAATCCGTGAGGGTTGGCAACAAATTATAACGCCAAAATGGGCAGGAAATGAAAAGAGAAAAAGCTACTTCATTTGTAAAAAGTATTTGAGCTTCTTTTGCTAATCACGATAAAGGAGCGTCCAAAGAAAATATATTTCGCATGTCAAGATCTTCAGACTCAGAGTGCAAACACCTGTATACGCGCGAGAAGTGACATAGCATAGAGAGGCATAACGACACAAGAAGAGTGTATATAGCACTGATATTGCACTCATTTTTCGAGTGTATCGACTACAATGATACATCAATGATTGACGAATTTTTCTGTCCAAGCACGTAACAGGATGGACTAAACTTTTTGTCAAGGATATTGTTTTATTCAGATACGCAACATAAGCAAAAAAGCAATCATTCCATGACAACATTTGTATTTGTTAGTCGTCTACATTAGCCAATCAGACAATAAAACTTAAACATAAACTAAATGAAGCGTCATGGTGGAAGTCCTTCAGCAGCTTCAAAGCGCAAGAAAAGTCGAGGACGGCGCAAGTCTAAAGCCGAACGATTGGCTCGATTGAATCCCTTGACTAATTCGTCAAATGACTTGCATCAGCTCCTTCAACTTCTTCGATCTAGTCGTGTATGGGACGCAGCACAAAGTCTCGCATTGCAAATTGGAACACTGGAAGCACGAGCGTCTGTCGTCTGCATAATTCTCAAGGACTGGAAGGCACCTAAAGCAGCGGCACATTATGCGAAGCGCCTGAATGTACGAGGTGAAGAGCTGATCAATGCGGTTATGTGCGATTCGACGATTTCGTTATTGTTGATGGCTCAGTTTATGGTGGAGCTGGATGAAGACACACTAGCGACTAGCGACCGTCTGCAGAAATTTCTATGGCCATGGATACTGCAATCAATGGAGACAAAAGAGAACAAGGCAGTAGTAAAGGCAGCTGTGCATTTGATGCTGCATCCGACAGCCTCAGATGATGCCAAAATGTACGACAAGAAGGAACGAGGTCGGAGACTGCAACGTGCTTTGGTCACGCAGTGTCTGAAGACAGGAAAACTGCTCCATCTTGTACCGATTCACGCACGAGCATTTGCCGACCGGGTGAGTGTCGATTCTGTAACCTTAGCGGCTGGACACAATGAGGAAACTAATGCATTCTTAAGTGCCGATCAAGATAAACAAGAGGAGATTCAACGCCGACAAAAAGTGGCTCATTGTGTGCAGAATGTACTTCGTCTGATGTGGCCTGATGCACGTGTAATAGTATTTGGTTCCTCAGTCACTGGTTTGTTGCCGGACTTTGATAAAGACAATCAAAAGCCTGCCGATGTGGACCTCTGTGCTCTGTTGCCGTCTGCACCACAATTTCGCCAGGAGACAGCGTCTGTCATCACCGAAGTGAAGGAGCATTTGGCGATTTATTTCTTACCTAATAGCACGGACGAGACTGAAGACACGGTTATCGCAGTAACGGGAGCCCGCATCCCTATTGCTCATTTTCGAGACCCTTCTACCGATCTGTTATGCGACCTTTGCGTGAACAACGTCTCTGCATTATGGAACACGCGTCTGTTGCGATGGTTTTTGTACGGTGGCGTCGGTGCCCTTTCTCCGGAGCAAGAACATCAGCTCCAACATGTGCGACGACTCTGCATTTGGCTTCGTAAGTGGCGCCAGACTAAGGAGCGTTTGGTTGGTGGTGCAGTGAGCTCGTATGGACTTATGCTGCTTGCTATCTATTACCTTCAACGTGTTGGTATCTTGCCCGTACTTGACTGCAGTGAACATGTTGTTGAAGACGAATGTTCACTACGTACATTGACCGAGAATGAAATCGACCAGCAGCTTGAAAGGCTTGACAAAAAGTTTGTTGTCAAGGTACACACCGCTGAGGTGCGAGATTGGCTGGCACTTCGACGTGGCTTCTTTCGCTTCTATGCTTGCGAGTTTGACTACGAGCGCACTATAGTGAGTCTACGCACAGGTGACATTATGCTAAAGACCAGCAAGGGCTGGTCTCGTCAGAATGACACCCGACTCTGTCTAGAAGATCCAGTAGAGACCGAACGCGATTTGGGAATGCTCTGTTCTAGACGCGCGTTTGGTTGGCTGCGTTGTGCATTTACTCAGGCGTGCATTGTACTGAGTAACAAGGACGAAGGTACATCGAATTTTCTACAAGATGTGGAGGAAAATCTACTGGCTTCTTGGGCGTATGAAGAGGACACGTGACACGAGCAGAAGATAGTGAGCATCTTGGCCGTGATTTTGATGTATGCTACGACTACGGCATGAGCCTTTCCACTCGCTTGCCAGTTTAGCGTGCAATCATGGGCCACTGACCATTTGCAAGTAAATTTACGGTGGTGACACGCGATCGGCCGAAGAAACGCAAAGGTCCTATCCAAGAGTGATAAATGTGAAAGAGTACAATAGATTGACAGCATCGGCCAACCGCAGCGTCTTTGGAAGAGGTGCTATCAAACGGAGGGGCTACACAAGAAGTGCTTTGACGGTGAGTTTGCAAACTACGATGTATAACTATTGAACAACAAATTGATCATGGTCGCGAGGAACTTCTACATTTTAAATTGCGGCATGACGGACTTTACAATTTGAGTCTAAATTGAATGTGTGCTGCAGCACATATTACCAAAAAGCGAGACCAGGACAGCTTGTGATAACACTAGCTTCGATGTAATCCTAATACCAAAGTAAAGGCCAAAAGACTTATGCTGCTGCAGCGGACGCACAAACAGGTTTGGAAGAGTTGAAAACGCTGCTTAGAAGGACGCACAGAGGACCTGACTTAACGCGCATGAAGTAGCAAAGCTTTGAAATAATTGATTAATCAAAGGCGATAGATCCCTCACTTTATCACAGCACTGGGCTAGTTGCTGTTCTGAGGCATTAACAACAATCAGTTGTCATTGCTAAAATTGCTGTCGCTGCTGTTGCCGCTGAGCGAGTACACAGAACGCTTAACGGGTGTGACATCCCCACTGCTGCTATCCTCAGCCGTGTTCTCTACACTGTCGTTATCCTTGCTTGCTATCGTGCGACTGATCATCTCCTTGACCTCGTTTTCCTCTGCATAATCAATGCAGTTTGCAACATAGTCAACGAGTTCCTGGCATGTGAGGCCTTCGCGTGAGATGATTTTCAGCGGCGCAACCTGAATCTGTTTCTCCGGATCAGACACTAAAGGGTCTTGGACAGCTCCAGGAGACAAAGAGATCTCGACGCGAAAGCGTTGAGGGTCGTCCAGCGAATACTGGATGCGCTCAAAAACGCGCAAGACAAAATGAGTCATATAACAAAGCTCGGGGATATCCTCAATCCACTTTCGGGATTCTTCACCAATAGGGCTTTTCACCGTGCATTCCTCCCGGCCATAGCGTAGAACATTTAGCAGCGAGTGCAAGTGCGATTCGCTTGTGAAGTACAAGCGTGTGCGCACGGAACGGTGGGCTGACTTGACCTTTTTTGCATATGACGGATTCAGACGATGGGTGTTATGGTCTTTTAGTAAGTCGGGTTTGAGGCCACGGGCCAGATCCAAGTCAGTGTTGATCTTCGTTAGTAGCGTTCGGCACATAGCTGACCCAATGAAAATCTTCTCGTCCATATTGATTCCGTATTCTTGCGGCACAAGAGCGTGAGACAACGCACTTGAAATCTCCAGAAGCTCGCGCACGTCTGTCAAGTTCAAGTGTGCGTTGTGAACAGCATCATATCGAATACAATCGTGGATGTCTGGGATCTTTGACAAATCATACGTATCACGCTTTTTTACGTAAAAATCACGGTACAGCTTCGCCCAACGCTCACGCATCACCTCCATAGTCTCACGTCCACATGGCTCAGGGTACTTCACTTCCTCTGGAGGCAGCGGTTCTTGTGACTGCATTTTAAGTAACCCCACACTGCTGTTAGCAGCATCACTTGATATGTTGCTTCCTTCACTATGTTTCTTTCGAAAGGCGTACGAGTGCACGTGGCGACACCTGGACTGATTCAACTCATTCACACTCGCTGATCGACCAATTGCGGGAGCGACCAGTTTGTCGTCGGTAGCCTTTGTCTGCTGCCTGTTTATCTCTGTGCGGAACTGCGCCTTCTCTTGAATTATTCGCGTCAGTTGCTCCTTCAGCGAGTGAAGCAATTTGTGCATAACTCCCATCTTCTCTATGGGCTGATCAACCTGTGTAAGTGCAAGAGCCACAGAGCGAATAAGCCGCGAGTTCGAGTCAATTAATTGACTGCAATTGTCTTCACGGTGAATGATCTTGTGCAGGCGCTGCTTCACTCGCATTATAATTTCTTGTGCAGAGGATCCAGATTGGTCCAGCATCGAGTCTGCATCCTTAGACTTCAGCACAAGCCCTACCAAGATAGGAATGATGTCGCCCTCGAGTTCAAGCAGTCCTTTTGCAAACGAAGCTGCTGTCTTTTGGACACGTCCTTCGTCGCTTGTGTAGATTTTAAGATCGTGACGGTACGTTGAGTGCAAACGATTCAAGCCCCCAGCGCCACCTGGGTACATCATACGCCGAAATTTTTGACCCAAATGTTCTGCTTGTTCTTCACCTGTGTGCGTTAGATCTCCTCCCCATTTGATAATTAGCAGCAATTTGCTGACGCGGCGTATCTTCTGCGGTTCTCCATTTTCATTCGTAGTTGAAACGGCCACATCAACGAAACTTTTGGGCTTCAGCTGTACTTTGCGATTGATCCCAACAAGTTGCCAGCGCTGTAACACGTCTCGCAGGGTCCTATACCCCTTCACACGATCCGTTGCGTCCTCACCAAATTTGTCTTCGCCATGCTCCAAAAAATCCATGAACGCCGGATCACGCGTCTCGTATTTGTGTAATAAATCTTTGCTTACCAGAAGCAAGCGTTCAAGGTTCGCTACGGCCTTAATCTTCAAATCCGTTTTCTTTTTCTTTTTTGTGTCATTTCCATCGCCATCTTCCTCTTGAGCCTCACGCAGACGATCCTCGTAAAATTGGAGGAAGGCCGGATGACAGACATTCATCTTCATTTTCTGTTTAGGCGTGCGGTCACCGTGTCGAATTACAGCTAGAACACAACGTAGCTCTTCCTCTTGGTACAGATCGTCTTCATTTCCATCCGTTATACTATCAACTTCGGACAGCTCGGACTCGGCAATAGAAGTAAATGGCCCGCGAAGCATTGCATGCCTTTGCGCTGTTGGCGGTTCCGACAGCTCTGCACTTGGCGGTGGAGCATTCGGTGCAAATCGAAAAGTGACCGAGCTGAAGGCAGAGCTGTTCGTGCCAAAACCCTCACCATCTGTTGCGCCAGCTAACGCCTGCTGTAGATATTGTGTCAGCAAAATGCCACAGTCGTCATAGTACTTTTCGGAATTCTTGACAAAACTCCAGCCGTTCACATCACACACGTACGAGGCATCACGTACGCGCAAGATATCAAAGCCACATATAGTCTGTTTAAAAGCTCTACATACTCGATAGGCCACTTGCTTCTCCTCTGTCGAAAGTATGACTGGGCATCTCACTTCTTTGCCGTCAGAGTCTCGTACCACACGTCCATCTAGCACGGGTGATTTGCGAGCTTCAGCGTGGGCATAGTGTGGACCGACCGTGTAGACCTTGACATCAGTTCCCTGGGTAGATAGAAATTCTTCGTAAACATAGGAACCTTCTCCCGCCCTCACGGTATTAATCTGTGGATCATACTCACTTGATCGATTTCCTATCTTACGAAATAGACGTTTACAGCCTCCACCGGCACTCATGGGGTAATAAATGTAAATATTATGATCCTCCCCATCCACCGGCTTTTCCACAAAAGGTTTGTTAATCCGAATACCGTCTACTTCAATATAATCATCTCCTTCAATCACGTTAGGAAAATCATTCTTACCTCCATAACCATCTCGATTAACAAATACATGACGAGGTGTAGGTACATCATGCTCTTGTAATACACGATAAACCTCCCGACGATCCTGTAACAGATATTGTGTATCCAAATCATTTACCACTACAGGATGACGTAATGCAACATAATCCTGTGCTTTTTGTAGTGGAAAACCATGAGAAAAGAAGGCAATGAGTGCATCACAATGAGGCCAAGTCTCCACTGGTTGGTTTAAAATCATGTCATCTCCAAAGTATTTTACATGAAATAAATCAGATGGTAATCGTCCTAAAATCTCTTGCATAGGATCAGATCGTGCTTTACGTTCCATTACGCATATACCCAGTATATACCTAGCGTTAGGCACATGAGATGGCGTCATGTGAAGCGGCTATGGCAGACGCAGCCGTGAACGATATCGTTGCTACAAAGAGAGCTATCGGATTGGTGGAAATAGAGATAGCTACATCTGAAAAGTTTTTGGTGTAAGAACACAGATAATAAATGTTGCAGCAATGTGACATAAGTGCATAGGTTGCAGCAGCATCGCGCGTGCCTCAGAGGATAATATATATATATATCGATATTAGCCAGTAAACTCGGCAAGTATGATGTAGAGCTCCCTTGTATTATGTAGAGCTTACTTAGTATGATGTAGCGCTTATGCAGACGACACTCTAGCTATAGGCACAATACAATGTAAGCGCGTCTTCCGTGCTACATTGAGGCTAAATTTACTTAACATTGATTATTCGCATGTCTTTTTCTTGTTTCGCACAAGGATTCAGTCAATACACAAATGTTTCACAGCAAACAAACTGCTCGCTTAAAACAGCAGCTGGTTAGTATTCTCCGTGAATTCGGTCACACGCTCGTCTTCGGGAAGTGCACCCAGCGCGAAATAGCCAGCATACTTCATATGAAGCTTCACAATCACCTCTGCAATTTCTGGCCTGTTGCGAGCCAATGCCTCACTGAGACGAACATCCTGAGAGCAAGCAATATCCATCTCATCCACTGTCTGGCCATCCGCACCCATACCATTTGTCTCCAGCAGGTAATGCACGTGCGAGTGACCTTGTTGTTCGGCCATGTCAAAGGCTGTCTCGCCCTTCTCATTTGGCATGTCTGGATCAGCTCCAGCGGTCAGCAAAAGATAAGTAGCACGATAATTCCCGTCGCGGCTAGTAAAGTGCAGCGGCGTGTTACCATCTGCGTCTTCTACCTGCGGATCAGCACCAGCGTCCAGCAGTTGCTCGACTACATTTGAATGTCCGGCCATGCATGCCAGCAACAACGCTGTCGTGGTCGTATCCCGAACCGGAAAGTCAGTCTTAGCTCGCGCCGACAACAGCATGGCTACAATCTCCGAGTGGCCGTGCTTAGCCGCAACATGCAGCGGCGTACACCCGCTGAGTGCCACCACATCCACGCGCGCATTGTATTTAACAAGAATCTTGGCCACACGGTTGTGATTATTTTCGCAAGCAACGTGCAAAAGGGTAAAGCCGTCTAGCGCCATCTCGTTCACGTTTGCACCACGCTCCAGTAGAAGCGTAAGCACGTGGTGAAAGCCATTAGCAGCGGCTACGTAGACAGGTGACTGCCCTAACGAATTCTTGATTGTAAGATCAGCGCCCGCGTTTAGTGCGTCCATGACCTCAGCCAAGTCACCCTTGGCCACGACATCGAGAAACTTCTTACGCTGTTTGACCGTCTTAATGGCCGCTAGCGTGTGGCCAAAAAAGTGCCAGACCTTAGCACTGCGATTGCGATAGCCATGCAGCAAATGCTGTCCTGCCGCCATTTTTTTGGTATTTACTAGCACCAGCGCACCATCCGTCGGATACACGTACCCACGTGCGGCCTCGAGCTGCTTGACAGGGTCACAAAGTTTCATGATTGACTACTAGGAGATATAATAACTTCAAAGTAAAAGATAGTAATAGTAAAATGGACAAGTTGAAATGCTTGTAAGGAAAATCTTGTTGATATAGATGACCCGATCGTTCGGAGGAGATCCAATCGATAAATGTGGCTGTTAAATACCTGCCCAATAGAGCGAGGTGATGCTTTATGTGCTTGAATGCGAATGACTGACTGACTGACTGACTGACTGACTAAGTGAGTGAGTGAGTGAGGGTTCATATGCAAATAAAAAAAGCAGCTTCTTAGTGGACTGGACAACACACCTAATCCCATTTAACACCATACAAAACTCGAATTGTTTTGAGTTCAGTGCAAATTTTGCATATAGTTTGCCAAACTAAACTTACACACCGAGCTTTGCTACATCATCAACTATATCACATACGACGTATCCTGTTTCTAGCTTCACACAAGGCGACACATTTACTAAGGCTGTTTGTTGATACAGCAATGCTGGCTGAGCCGAAACCAAATGAACGTTGGGATGTCTCATGTTTGGGTCGGAAGATGTCTGTACGACTGTTACATAAAGAATAACTTGTATATTTTAATATTTGTTATCTTAAATATTCTGATGAATTGGATTGTGCAAATAGTAAAAAATGTGGTAAGCTTTTCTTATTTGTGATAAGAAAACACCAGCCATGAGATATAAAAGCGACCGTATAGTCAGGATTGTATATGGTCCAAACAGTAGAATATTCCATGTGGGTAGGCGTCTACTAGCCTTTTATTAGCTTACCAGGTCATTGCACCATCGAGATTATAAAAAGCACACTGCACATCGTGTGATGCACGTGTGTCGATGCTCAAGACCGGGGCAAGTCGAGCAGAGAGCCAGCAATCTTTTGAATCCGGCTTACTGTGGCTTGTGTGACACTATTTACCCATATATTATTAGCTCACTTTGGAAAGGGTTAGGGATAGATAACCTATTTATGACCTGAGCATTGCACTGTCTCTGTATGAACAGAATGAAACAGTCTCCCAATAAAATATTGGCTTTTGCCGACCACGACGTCTCGGTGACCGGATGGTAATGCCTGAGATTTGCAGCGTTACGCTGAGCCAAGCGGAATTTGAAAGAGAGAGCTGACGACGGCTGCTAGGCCACTACATCATGATTGTGTTTCACAAATGGTTTACCAAGGGAATATTCTGTTGTTCTTGCCGTTTTGTCGATAATGATTGGCTTCATGTGCATCCACACAGGCAGACTTGTTCTACGGATTGGAAAGATCTTTTTATATCAGTCAGTACGTGCGAGCCGTCTAGCTCGTGAATTGCAATACAAATGGATTGCTGGCAATGAATTGATGCAAGCCTACGAGCTGATGTTGACGTCAACTATTTCCACACAATATTACCCTAAAAATAGAGGTTAAATTAAAAACGACCCATATTTGGGACCATTCAATTGCAGCTCGATCTGGTTGGCCCTGGACCATGTATACGAGAATAATGGCTGCTCTTCCACCCATTGCGCGCTTATCCATTGCACCTATGGTAATGCATTACTTTGTTAATAATACACGTCCGATTGAGATTGAAATGCTAATACGCTACCATTGAGTACAGATGGACTGGACAGACCGCCACTACCGCTTTATGATGCGCATGATTACGAAGGAGACACTGCTGTACACTGAAATGGTGGTGGACCAGACTGTGCGTTAACGTGACTGTTACTATGATTGTGCATCAATTGTTGCGCTTTCGTGGCTGTCTAATTCAATCTTTGTTTCATTGACAGCTGCTGCACCAAAAGAAGAACCTCGATTACTTCCTGGGCCATGACCCCGTCGAAGCACCACTGGCACTGCAGCTCGGTGGCAATAACGTCGAAGATCTCGGTGGTACAACGCCTTTTGCACGATAAATTGATGGCATCACTTTGCTATGGAGCTGACGTCATTGCATTTGTGGCTGCTGTATTAATATAGCTGCGGCGTATCTGAGCCAGTCGTACGGTGGTTTTTGCGAGATTAACCTAAATACTGGCTGTCCTAGTGCGCTCGTATCCAGTCGCTGTTTTGGAGCCCGCCTTATGCTGGAACCAGAGCGTGTGCGGGATATATGCATTAGTATGCGACGCAACATCGCGTTGGCAGCGGAGAAGAACTCAGACCAACCGGTAGCGGAGGTGACGGTGAAGTGCCGCATTGGCGTGGACGACTGCGATAGCTACGAGGATCTGCACCATTACGTAGCTTCTGTTGCTAACGCTGGCGTGCGTCACATCATTGTGCACGCTCGCAAGTGTCATCTTAAAGGATTGAGTACAAAGGACAACCGGACCATTCCCCCGCTCCGGTATGAGATCGTGGACCGGCTTAAGCAAGACTTTCCTGATTTGCTGTTCACGCTCAATGGTGGTGTACAAAGCATTCAGCACGCACGAGATCTTTTGGACACTACAAATATAGATGGCGTGATGATTGGACGAGCGGCGTATAACACGCCATGGAATTTTCGTGACGCTGACCGCTTGATTTTTAACGCCAAGCGCAACCCAAATCTGTCACGCCGAGAGATTATTAAACGGTATCTCGAATACGCCGAGGATCTACAAGCGACATGGGGGTCCACTGAACCACTAGGGGACTGCCCTTACACAATGGCCACATCTGCACTAATGAAGCCGCTATTGGCACTTTTCAAGTACGTAATCCTTGTGTACCTTACGAGCAGTTGAGTTTTCATTGACTCCTCTTTTCATTTTTTTGTGGTTTAATTTTTTTAAATGCAGTGGTGAGTATAAGGGGAGGGCGTTTAAGCGTGAGATATCAGATCAATGGATAAGAAAGAACCCACGTCCACAACTGCGGGAGATGGTTGAAAACGCCATGAAGGTATTACCCGACGAGGTGCTGGATGCGAGAGTTGAAGATGAGCTCTTTCATCAACACTCTGATGGGACAGGCGATGAGCGAGCATTAAGTTGCAGCTAGATCGAGTAGCGTAGGTGACCTCGAGAAATATACCATAGCAGAGAAAAGAAGTCTATATAGTCTTTATTGTACTTGCTCCTGCGCAAGCAGACACTTGAGAGCTTCGTCTATGATACAGTATACGTCTTCGGGCGTTTGCGTACGAGCCATACGATCACGCAAGTCACGCGCGTTCGGCACCCCTTTTAAGTATGAACCATAAAACTTTTTCATGCGCGGGAATCCGATGAGGCCTGGGTCTGCCAAGAGCTTTTGAAAGAGCTGCGTGTGGCGTCTGATTACCTCCAGCTTCTCTGTTATTGAAACATGCGCGGTGTTTGGGTAACCCTGAAATAGCCATGGGTTGCCGAACAACGCGCGGCCAAGCATTACGCCGTCAACTCCGTACTCTTCAACTTTTTGCTGTGCGTCAACGAGACTTTCAACGTCACCGTTGCCAAGGATAAGTGTGGAAGAGCCTGTGGATTTGGCCAGCGTTACCACCTCTCCGATAACATCCCAGTGCGCCGGAACCTTAGACATCTCATCACGCGTCCGACCATGAACAGTAACGACTTCCGCTTCCGTCGCCAGCAGCCGTAGTACCCAGTCTTTGTAATCGATGTGGTGGAAACCAATGCGTGTTTTGACAGACACAGGCAAGTCCTGTGCTCCTCGTTTACACGCAGCCACAATTTCAACCGCCAAGTTCGGTTGCAAGATTAAAGCCGCGCCACTTTCTTGATCAATTACATTTTTTTCTGGGCAACCCATATTAATGTCAATCCCATCAAAACCTAAATCACGAACGATCATTGCCGACTAGCATGAATGAACATTGTAAATGTACAGCTAGAAAACATCCAATACCACAAATATATACATATATGTGAAGCCTTTGTACAACACCTACTTCGTAGAACTGCTCGGGCTTTGAACCAAAAAGTTGCGCTACCACCGGCCGTTCTTTCTCCGCATACATGAGCGTAGTCATCATGCGGCGACGCGAGTCCGAGTCGTGCGTCAGAGCTTCACAGCTCACAAATTCAGTCCACATGACCGATGGCTTGGCAATCTCACTGATGAGACGACGAAAAGCCGCGTCCGTCACGTTTGCCATGGGCGCTACGCAATACAGTGGCCTTGCCAGCTTCTGCCAGAAGCTTTTCATGTTTTGGTGTAAATTGGGTAATGTGGTGTGGCAGAGTGAAGGTCCCATAGTTGAAGTGCGCATTCCAGCAACATGACGAGTAGAAAGATCATGCGCTGCCGAGGCGCGAGAGGGCATCTGGTGCTCTATAATCCACTTACAGTGCCTCATGAAGGTAGAATTGGCATATGGAGCTGTTATGTATGGTTCTGACTCGTAGTCATGATCCCATAGTACCGCAAGAGCTTGAAGGTGTCTACGGATTCCAACCAAAAGGTAAAAGACTGGCTGGCGTTATTTTATACACGAGTTAACAACAAAAAACTTGATACACATGCAACTATACAGAAGCAACAGGCTGCCTTGCTGGTAAGTGATTGCTATCAGCTGTCACCTTGGAGTCGTAGCTGATATTATGAAGCTCAGACGTGATGATTTCGCAGCGAAAAGGCGAGTTTCCACCTGTGGCTTTCATGGTGCGAAACGTTTACAAGTGTTGATTATTCTATGTAATCTGACGCTTATCGTTTCAGCTTATCCATAAGGAGGTGTCAGAGTTTTCAATCGAGAACACAATTGATAGGAAAGAACTCGACGTTTGCTTTTCTTGCAAGTCAAGGAGGCATCAGCCTTTCACGGATCAATCAATCTAACGTTGTATATTCAGACTGTTGAAGGCAGAGAAGGCGTTTGAGAATGTATTTGCAATCGCTGTTCTTCCAATCCCGCAGTACTCAAAGTTGCAGCTACTTGCAATTAGCAGCTCGGTAAAGATCAAGATGTTTTCAGGCATGTGATCCTGTCAAACGTGCTGCCAAATTTCATTTCCAGGCTAATGTTGTCTTTGTGCTGCTTCCTTTCATAGCTTTTAGCATTCCTGCTGCTGTTAAAGTCATGGTTTGTTCCATTGTACGATTTGTTGCCACATACATTAATTGATCTGATACCGTTGCACGGACGCAAAGTAGGTGTCTGTCCACGAGAAGCTTGCTTTTCAAGTCTCCGAAAAGGCTGACGAGCTCAACAAGCGCGTAAGCTAAGTTGTATTTGTCTATTTTGCACTACGATAAGGACTAACCAACTTTTGCTAGATGAACGATGAGTTACTCACTCGCAAGCATGCAATGGACACCTTGCAAGCTAGTTTTCCATTCCTTTCTGATGTCGAGTGTGACATGCTACTCGACCTTTTCGGTGCGTGAACGTGCGTTTTTTTCAATTTGCATGTGTCTCTGTCATTTACACCACCTCCAACAGGCAATATTGCGTCAATTGCTCAAGCTGGAGCGGAAAAACTGCTAGACGTGACTGTGTTGAGCACATCAGCAGCACATGCAATTGAGCACTTTTTCAAAACCGAGTATGTGGTGGAGTAGGTTCAGCAACGGTCTAGCATGCACATTAGAATGAAAAAGTGCTTCATTATTTACAGCGAGAGATACAACGTTTTGTCTCTTTGCTTCACGGAGCACGGAGCACGGCAAAACAAATACACACATTCAAGCATGTGCCCCAAACAAGCGTGCGTTAATGCTGTCTTCACTAGCGCAAAACTTCGTTTGCGAAACTGAGAGACTATAAAATCCAATTTACTTTACTTCTAGATTGCCCGACAACGCAACACCGAGCTCGTAATGTCCACGTACGTTTCTACGTCGCACGTAACGCAAGAGGTTGTAACAATACTGCCCTGATACCACCAATATCCAGAGTTCCCGGTGTGGGACTTGAGATGGCGAGTAAGTCAAGCACCTGGCACGCGATACTTCAACACGTCAGCACATGAAACCAGGTATGTTAATGCGCCATCTTGATGCTGCAAAGACTAAATCCAGAAAGTTACTGCATGATATCGCCAACAAAAGTCACGCATACGCTTACTAACAAGAAAATAGTCGTCTGGCCGTTCCTTTTGCTCCGATAACCACACGAGCGTCTCTAGCTTTGAGCATTTGTAGTCATGCAAGCACTGGAAGTTAACACCGCCCTCGAACTTGATCACACGCAAGCAACAACATCGTTGGTTAAAGGCTTCTCATCATTATCAGATTGTGTTTGTTATACAGCAACTGAATTAATCTAGTCCCAGGATTCAAGATATGACCATTAAATGATTTACAGCGCAAACTCAGACACTTGACAGCACGCAATATTGATAATGACGCATGTTGATGGTCGGTTGTAAATATTGGCAGCCAATTGTCGTCAAGTCCGTTAGACTGGTAAAGTTTTGGCCTAGCATTTTGGCACAACAAACTCAGCCTATAGCTGAGTACCGTCAGGTTTTGCGAGGACATTGACAAGCGCGGAAGCACATTCGCTACGGTGCCATTAGTGGTCGTGCCAGATGCAGATAGGTCTACAACTTGCAATTGCTCTACTTGTCTTCGTAGCGGCTTACCTGGTCATGCAATAGCAAGTTATCAAAAGATAAAAAAATATTAGACTGTTAATAACAGCGTTCGACGGGTTCATGACATCTGTCATCTGTTCGCATTCACCACGCGCCCATCACAGATACAAAGAAGTGCTAAACACTGCAGATTAGCGAGTCGAGATGTTATGTGCGCAGCCATCTTAAGCACAACGCACTATCACACGTTTCAGCCTGCGTACTCTTCAAGTACCTTTAATGTAAATTCGTACTTCACACTCACAACGACGGTCAAGACGAAGCGAGGTGATTAAAACACTGCTAGTTGTCTACAAAGAGCACTTATTTGATACTCCAGTACCACAAGGGGGATGCAAAGCAGGCCACTAGTTCAGCTAATTATACGGTCCGGTAAACATACCGCATATCTAACTGCTCTTTTTTGCCGGCGTGGCCAACTTCTCAAGATGGCGAAAGTAGTCGTCCAGGAACTGAAAATACCACTGCTGGTCGAAGGTGCCTCGGAAAAAATTACACGAAATGTTAACTTCCAGCAGCAAGACGCCCATATTAGTAAGCGCCACGTCCCAGCCACATAGTGGTACGTCCTTCATGAGCTTATAGTGCGCCTCTTCCGCAAGCTCCTTCATCTGCTTTATCTCTTCGATTACATTGCCTGTAATAGGAAAGCCAGTGTCCGGGTGGTTGGTGATGTCGTGGCCTACACTAAGATTGCCTCGTAACATGTGGTGCGGGCCAACACGGTACCAGTGCGTCGTAGTAGACCCTTTGAGAATTTTTCCAGATTCCATGTCCACATCAAACATAATTGATTTGTGGTCCGTCGCAGCGCCCGCCAGGCCAGCACGAAACACGCAGCTGAGCGACTTGATGCCGTTGCCGCCGTCCTTAAGCGCCTCTGTCTCTCCCAAGCCATGACGCGATGCAGTAATAATGCGAAAGGTCGAGAGAGGTGACACTTCTGGCAGCAGCTTTTTGATGAAAGATGAGTTGTCCAGCTTTTCTTGTACAATCCAGTCTCCACCATCGACGGCATTTTTAAACATGAAAATGCCCATTCCGCCCTCCTCGTTGCGGTCTTTAATGACCAATGAGCTAGGTGTCTTGAGATGAGGTGAAACAGCAATGCCATTCTTCTCCGCCTCGAGTAGAAAATTCCACTTGTTCTCCATGATGTATCCGGGTGAATTTGTCTTAAGGCTGTGTAAGCTCACCACATGACAATTAATACGCCAGAAGGCAAACCAATTCTGCGGGCACACAAAAATCTGCGCAAAAGTGCGCAAAAACCTTTCAATGATGCATCCTTGCTTGTTTGAGTATTCCTTGGACAATTCAAAAAAAGCACCAATGGCACATAGCCATGGGTAAATGAAGAGCAAGAAGGGAAAGAGAAGAAGACGCGAGTAGCTCACAATCGAAAGTGGCAAACCCGTGCCTGGAATCGCAACGTTGCGCAGGTTCGTCACCAAGTCCTTGTAAAAGCTCGGGTGACGATAATGAGGTTGGCTCCACAGCGGGTTCAACAGCGCAATCGAATACACGTAGGTTTTTGCATGAAGGTCTTCCGAAAAGAATGGGCAGTCCGCATAACTGCCGCGACGCACCCAGTAATGCAGTAGTGAGCCGTAAAAGCTCAGAAGCGCCTTCGTGACACCCGCGCCAGCTGAAAAAATACCCACGACCATTTGTCGACTGCTTTCGTTGTGGTTAAATGACTATAAGGTGTGTGCTTGGCACGGTCAAAGAAGGAATAACGATGCTTCGGAGATCCAACATGGCTGCTAGCGAATGAGAAGCGAGGTTGAAATCATCCTGATTGACTTGGTGATTGTATACCTCCATTCATCTTATTATTGAATGGAACAATTACCCAACAGACGGATGTACGCCAGACAAGATAGGAAAAAGATCACTCGACCGTCTAGAATGATCGAGTGGTGGCTGGCAAAATAACGACTGGATATCCCGTAAACTGCTCGATGGGATATTTTGTCGTAAGAAAGCCTAGAGAAAAAACTACTGACGATAAAAAATCGTCCGCCAAGCTGCGGAGGAGATGAAGCAGTTGCCAAACGCTTTGTCTCAGGCGCGCCAACCCTCGTGTACAGAATCGTTGCCACTATTTACGTTAATGTTAACGTGTTGGTCATTAGTAATAGCTTGCTATGCAGTATTTAAGAGACTCTACGCAGCAGACTCGACAACATGGTAGAACACATATACCAAGTCGCTGACACGCATTATGTGACCATCATCTTATGCCACCAGATAATCATAAGACTCTTTACCATGTCAGGATACATTTTCGTATCAAATGGTCGATAGGTTTTATATGCGCGCGACGGTACGCATATGTGGCTGATAACCGATTAAGACAGGGGAATTGAAGCAACCAGAGCTACAAATGTAACACCGTCCTTACTGCATGCAACAGCCCTACTTTAGTTATTTGTGAGTAAAGCATTTGGCAGTCAATATCACTGCCGTGTTTTGAGCTCAATTGAAGCTGAATTCATAATGAATCACCTTTTCATATCAACCCTCGGTCGCCGGTCTTGTTTGTTCGCAGCCCGCGTCTCAGTGGGCCTTCTTAAAGACGAAGACGAATGAGTAAGGACGTTAAGATTGTGACCGAATGACGATGACTTACAAAGAATATGAGTCTAAGGCTAAAACTTCCCATCACGACCCTCATGGTCACGACACATGACGGTGCGAAGCCACGGCACGATTCTGCCTCTGCATCAAAATGATAACGATAAATCGTGTGGCAGCTACGACCCATGAACTACCACTCGGTGGTGTAACTAGCGAGCTTAATGCCAGAAGTGTGAGCTATGCTCAACGTTGTGTGGGGGAGTGATCACCCTTCTTACGCAAAGTTCGTGATGCCATGGTGGGCGCACAGGACAACACAACAATACGCAGGCCTACATGGTCCTAAAAGTGCTGAACGCTATAGTGTTGGGTATAAGGACTACGAAGTACCTAAATATGCAATTTCTGTACTACGCAAGTACTGTTGCGGTTCATTGGCCTATTCACTAAGGATGCGAAGACCTAGACTCTTGCCGAGCTTTCGAGCACTTGCAAAGAGAAATGGAGTATGACAAGTGATTAATCAATTGGCCAGCTTTATCGTCGATACGTACAATCATCGAGCCTCAGCACAGATTTACTAACACTTAAGAATGCAGGTCCAAAAATTCTACAAGCTACCTATCTTCAATTTGAGTTCTAACCGCATAGAACAATGCACAATCTACTTCTCAAAACGTGGCTAAAGTCAGCTAGCGTAATTTCCCTTGTAGGCTCAGTACTCAAACATCCGAAATTGTTGCAGCTTCACCAAACTGACAAATAATGCGTTGGACATGTCGACATCGAGTTTACTTGGCAAGAAACATTTGATGAATAGTTATAAACTTTTGTGATAGATTCACTGCTTTGGAATCACGAAAGCAGCAAGAAAAAGAATAAAAACAGTTGTTGTACTTGTCGTTCCATTAGCTTTTAAGACCACGTGGAGTGTGTGGACCACGTAGTCTACGAGACAGTATCGAATTTGATTCATTTAAATCCTGCATGCCATTTACTACTTTTCTCCCAATAATTTTTACGGCGAGAAAAGTGGCGAGATGTTCGCTGGAAATGCGGACAATGTTAGGCGTGACAAGACGTCTGGAGTGGTACGTAGTCTTATGTGACAGTATGTATGTACGGAAAGTGCATTTAATCTAATCTACGTCTCTTTGTTGTTACGAAAAGGAGGGAGAACCACACGCGCAAATCAACGGCTGTGTCATTTGTGGCTCGGGTCAGAACGGAGACAATATATTGTTATGTGATGGATGTGATGGCGAGTACCACACTTACTGTCTCGTGCCACCACTTTGTGAGATTCCAGCTGGAGATTTTTACTGCAAGAAATGTATGGACGTTAATTTGACAAAACAGCACGAGGTAGCAGCCGATACCAGTGTCACTACACCAGATACACGTGCAGAAGCTTCAAATTCTCCACTAGTTCTTCCCCTTGAATCTTCAGCTTCTGCTGCCACGACTACACCTATCAAGTCATCCACTCTAATGAAGGAGTCCAAGTACAGGGGGTGTCCAGGGTTTCTATGAAGGGTGTCAAGAAGCCGTTTGTAGCCAAACTATGGCAGGGGTCCAAGTATTTACAGCTGGGCACCTTTAGCAGTGAGATTGAGGCAGCTCACGCCTACGACAAGGCCGCACTCATGCATTATGGCAAGAGTGCGCAACTCAACTTTCCACATCTTCACGATAGTTTCGCTCGACCGGAAGTGGCTTTTAGCTTTCGCCAGCAAAATTCAAGTGCTGCAACAGAAATGAACGCGACGTCGTCGCCTGGCCGTCCTTCATCTACAGATTACTATGCTTCTCCTGGACACGGACAAAGTAAATGTCGCGGGCGTGGACGAGGTCGAGGACGTGGCAAGCGTTTGCAGGAATTTCCTGATTTGCGCGTCACCGATGCGAATTCAGAAGCGAAGCGTCGCAAGATGAAGAGCAGCAGATCAATGGTTGGTTCGTGTAACCAGAAGGTTTTGAGCGTGCCAGTTAAAAAATATTTAGGAGTCCAGGTACATCGCGTGTACGCGCACGCGCAAATTCAAGTAAACGGAAAGGTTGTTAATTTGGGTACATTCCCCACAGCCGAAGATGCAGCTATAGCTTACGACAAGGCTGCTTTGAAATACTTTGGAGATTCGACCGGCTTCAGTGATGCTCATTCTAATGAGATTGTTCTTAATTTTCCGGAGAAACGCAATGTGTTGCTGAAGCAATTACTTGATGAGGGAAAACAAAAAGCATCTCGACAGGCTTCCGTTGTTGAGTCAAGCTATGCTAGTCGCAGTGCTCAAAATGCCAAATACAAGTTGTCCATCATGAAACTTAACGCTTGGTTGTCAAAGCTTCAGCGATCAGTGAAAATGGTTGAGGCTTCGCAGCGAGTTCAGTGGGGTTTGCATTTGGTGTCCGGAAGAATGGATGAAGAAGAGAATAGCAAAGAGGAGGACAATGTTACGGGCATTTCGTCATTAGTGAAAATGGATTTTTTTGGCTCTGGTCCTACGATAAAAAAGGAGTTTACGACGCGGGATCAGAAACTAAGACAGAATAGCAAGGAGATTCAGAAAGCAATTTTGCTCGTGATTGAAGAGTTAAAAATTCACGCTGCCAACGTATCTGTAGACCCCCTTTTTCAGCCTCCACTACAATGTCCTCCTATTCTTAATTTGTTGTCTACTTCTCGGCACCTGAAGTTGGTTAATGCTATTAATGATCTCGCGCATCTAAAGGATTCAGTTCATGGAAAGGATCCGAACTCGATAGTCAGTGGATGCTTCGAAAAAAAATTGCGAGCTGTTGTCGACTACCGTGCCCGGCTCCAAATGTCGAGTAATAACGATAAGCAGAAACTGGCGCACTTATTTCGTGATGTGAAGACTGGATCCTCGCCTAGTTTGGATAGCACATCGGCTAGAATGGATGATGGCGATAGTATCCCCGCGAATGCCGAGCTTAGACTTTACACATTGAGAGAACCTGGCTATTCAAGAACTGCAAAATACGTGAAGCGGAAAGTGCTCGTTTGTAAGCCAGCCATGCCAAATAATGGTAGACAAAACGACCCATCCGAGCACGTGGTTGATGCAAATGAAGAAATGAAGAAAGAATTTGTTGATAGTTCAGGGGAGGCAAAATTTGTGACGGTTGCTGATGTGGAGATGGAGGCGGCTAATTCCGAAGACAAAGTCGAAAAAATAATCGAAAGCTCAGACTGTTCTAGATCAGCAGAAGCCAGCAAAGATAAAGCTGTCTTTGCACCAGAAACGGCTGATAAGGATACGAGGTTAGAAAACAACTCGGACAGAGAAAGGTTAGGTATTGATGCTGTATCAGTGTTACCAGATGTGGATATGAATGGATTCACTGGCAAGGAGGCGAGCAAGGATGAGGATCTTTATAAAATGAGAGTGGGTGAAAACAGGACGGAAGAAGAGCGAAAAGAAGATAAGCCGGAAACAATCAAATTCGAGAAATTGAGTGGAACAGAACAGTTGAACCAGAACAAGACTGAAGTTACGAATTCTAGCGATGAGATAGAAAGAGGCAAATTTGAGGATAAACCTGACATAGAGTGTGTTGGTCAAAGGGTTGGGAATTATACTAAGGAGGATGAACATCACAAGGATCCATTGTCCGAGAGCAAGGCAGCTTGTTTTGAGGATAAACCTGTCACGGTGAAGCTTGGTGATGATTCAATCCGAGGAAGTGTTGATGATATATCAACGTTGTCAACAATAGCTGTTCCCGGAGACAAATTTGAATGGGAGTTCTGTTTGGCTGTTCCAACAGTTGTCAAAGATAAATGGCGATTACTCCCTTTATCAAGTAACACGAGTGAGTTTAGTGGCGATCTCTTTTTCACGGAGAAGGAGGTTTTAAAATTTGAGATTTCAGAGGAAGAAGTATGCTCATCTTCTGCGACGGATGGGAAGACTGCGTGGATGGAGCACCTGCGCCAGCTTTATGTTGAAGAAAGCAAAGTGCGACAAAATATTCAGCGTGAAAGCAATTGTCAATATGCGTTGGATGGGGTCATGAGAATTGAGCAAGATCGATTACATGAAATATCGAATGTGTATCGCGAAGCCATGGCTAAACTTGATATGGAGACGTCGTTGGCGCTAAAGAGCTACAAACGCGCAAGTGAGGATGCTCAGCTAGTAAAACTAATGCAGCACTCATTCAACCCAATCCTTAGCAACCTGCTTGACAAGTGCGAAGAGGCTTTATTAAATTGTTTCCAAAAGTTATCTCTTCGGTTTGAGGATTTTGCACAAGAGTTTGAATACTATCGAATTTCTTTGCTCCGTTTGACGCAACCACAAGGGAAAGACTTTGTGACAGAAGATGAACATGCCAGTCTGATTGGTGCTGCGGATCTCAATGTGGATGACAATAGCGTCGTTATTAAACGTGAAAATATTGATCGAGGATGTGCAGCCACAATCTTGAATGCACCCAAGGTTTTGGAGATTGTCGACGATAGTGAGGCGGTTTTTACCGAAGAGAGCGATATGTTTGACGATTTAAGCGACAGTCCCAGCTTACGGCAAGCCTACATAGCTTTTTACATGGCTGAAATGGAAGCTCTTTGGAAAGAGCGGAGTTCATCGTTAGAAATGGTGCAAGCTATTCAGCGCTCTCTACTAAATGATACAACTGGTATCGCGTCTGCTGAAGAAGCCACTTTGTTAATAGAGACATTATCATCGTTTGAGGCATTGAGGTCGACAGCATCGGAGACAAAGGTAAGAGATTTGGATTGTGAGAGAACGACGAAGGTGCCTATTGCAATTGCAATAAAAACAGAGTGTACATCTGAAACAGGCCCCTACATTGCTGAAGGAAAGGCGACTGAAAGTAGAGACGAGGCTGAAAAAGGGTTTATTGATGACCATATGCAGATGGTTGGTGCGCGGATGCCGACTGGCAATACTTCAGATTTGGTAAGACAAGTAGAAAAAACACCTAAGATAGAATCTGCTGAGCTGGTGCTTAGAGAAGTCAGCGGTAAAACTAAGCCACAGCTGGGTTTCGGAAAATTCCGGCGGGAACAGGAGCTACGTGATGCCGTTGAATCATGCCTGGCTCAATGGCAGCGAATCCAGTGGCCGAAGGAGCTAAACTCTACATTCTTGACACCCACAAGTGTGGCATTGCCCGGTCAGTTTTCCAAGGTTACGAGCGAACAGACAACATTGTCATCCTCGACCGTGACAGACGATGAAAATACAGAAAACGACTCGCCGTACAGCGTCATGGAGGAACTAAAACGTATGATGATCGATTTGACGCAGGAGCAAGCGATTCCAGTCTCGCCGCCGGCAAAGCCAACGACCTTGGTGATGTATCACCCGGTGTTTATGAACCACCAGACGCCAAAGAACCACCCGGAGTGTCCTGAGCGCATGGATGTGAGTGTGATTATCTGTCTATGTTTCACGTTTGTCTTTCTTAGCAGTGTCTCTGATCAAAACATGTTTTATGTGCTATAGCGGGTGGTCAACATTGTGAAATCGCTTGTCAAGAAGCATCACGAAACACTCACGCTCGACCGTCTTTCCATGTCTCCAGAGGAACTTTGTCCACCAGAGACGACATTGCTGATGGTGCACTCGCCGACTTATTTGCGGCAGCTGAAGGAAAGATCGATCGAGGCTGGGTCACAATCCGTCTCATTCCCCGCAACGTCTTCTTCTTCATCAAGAGCTCTTGTGTTTGAGTCTGACTCGGGCATTCGTGAAGAAGCACCTAAACGTGGGAGTAAGAAAAACAATGGACGACCTCCACTAGTTGGAGCGTTTGGTGCTGCCAGTCTTGAGCAGAACGGGGTGGAACTGGACACCTTCGTAAGCAGTAAATCATGGGACGTAGCCCGTGCAGCTGCAGGTACAGTGTGTCTAGCTGTCGACCGAGTTGTGCGCAGAGAGTACCACAATGCTGTGTGCTTAGTGCGTCCTCCAGGGCATCATGTTGGGCGCCACGGCCGAACTGAGAATGCTCCATCATCGGGGTTTTGTTTACTAAATAACGTTGTGATCGGTGCTACCCATGCGCGTTTATACCCTTGGGTTCGTAAGGTCGCAGTACTTGATTGGGACATCCACCATGGAAACGGCACAGAGGAGCTTCTAAAGGACGACCCGGATGCATTCTTCGCGTCCATTCATCTGTACTCGTCTGGCAAATACTTTCCGGGAACGGGAAAGTCATGCGAGACGGGCAACCGCGTTAACGTGGCGCTTGAAAATACGGGTGCCGGCAGCGGGTCGCAAGCATTCCGATCTGCTCTTGTGTTGAAAGTACTACCAGCCATGAGGGCGTTCCGACCAGATATTATCTTCATCTCGGCTGGCTTTGATGGTCATCGCGACGACATCCTGGGCGGTGTGGCTGCGGTCAACAACCCCAACGTGCCAGCGGGATACGTTGAGGAAGACTTTGCTTGGGCTACGCTAGAAGCTCTCAAGCTGGCAGCAGAGGTGTGTGATGGCCGTGTGGTTTCGGTGTTGGAGGGTGGCTACGACGTTCACCCAGACACGAACTCGTTAGCCAAATCCGTGGCGGCGCATGTTGCTGCAATTTCTGCTTACGAGACAGGCCTGCGAAAAACGGGTGATAACTTCATTGCTAATTTGGAGATGAAGACGGGCGGCGCAGTCGATGTAATAGACGTTGCCGCCGCTTCACTTGATGCTTCCTCCATCAAGACGAAGCATTTTATCAAAAAGGAGCGTATGAGTCTACTGGAGAAGCTGTTGTCGGCAGATGTAACGGATGAGAGTGTGATCATCATCGACGACGAGGAGGAAAACGAAGAAGAGATTCGGGGTGAAGGCAACCACGAGGTACATGACGACGTCGACATTGGGTATGAAGAAGATACGGGTGAGGAAGAGGAGGAGGATTATGATGTGGGCATGGAAGAAGCTCAACTTGAAGAGCCTTTGATCTTGTATGGAAATAGACGGTAGTTCCATTGTAATTTTCTAATTGAACGTAAATTGATGTTTGGTGTTGTTGTATTGTCCTAGTCAATCCAACTTCATACTAGCTTTTGTATTGAGTCATCGCTTTATTCGCTACCCCCCCTTTCCAAAATCATGAGCGACCCGTTCTATCTAGCCGATATTCTCCTGGGCCGCGTGGGTGTGCTGCGCTCAACGGCTGAAAGCATTATCCTAGAATTGTGCGAGGCGCGAGTCAAATTAGATACCGGCCAAGCTTCTGATGATGCATTGCGCCTTACCATTAAGAACAAACTGGAACGCGTGCAGACCAATTTGAAGCTTTTACGCAAGCTCGTGCCCGAATTTGGTGCGTATATTTATGATACACGATGCTTTCCCCCTGTATACAGTACAGCGTGATATTGCTGTGACTGACCTCACTTTGATGCTTCTGCGCAGACGGCAAGACGAAACCCATCGAGAGCATCAACCAGACGCATCGAAACCTCCTGCTTGAGTACCACTGGAAAAATCAAGTGCAGGACATGGGATCTAAAGCGCAGGCCGTGTTTTTAGAACAACTTGGCGGCACATTTCCTCGTCTTGAAATGTTAGGCGACGTACGCTGTCCGCCCATCCCCAGCAGTTTCTTTGTGCCCAAATCACACAAGCGCAGCCGGGTGTTTGATCCCTTTGGAGAGAAACAACCGGCTACGCTCAGCGAGATGATGGACTACATGATGGCCAAGAACCGCAAACTCAAGTTTTATAAGCATGCTGAGACTACGCGCGGCGGTCGTCGAGTCATCAAGTCCATCAAGTGTGAAATTAACAAAGAGGTGACGGTGCATCTGTCGTTCTGTCCGCCAATTCCGGAAAACGGACCAAATGGTGAGACCGGTGTGGCTGCAAGTCCCATGACGCCGTCTACGCCAACATCCCCAGCATTTGCCGGGGGACGTCTGCGTAGCACTCGCAACAAGCACAAAAAACAGCAGCAACAGCTTGTGAAAAGAAAGAAAGGCGACATGCTTACGAAGGCTAAGCTCGCCGCTGAGGAAGCTACCAAGATGGAGATGGAGGAACTCAAGCAACGTATTACCGAGGCGCGCGAGGCTAGCAAGGAGCAGGAACAGGCTCGAGCTGCAGGCCTGCAGGTTACCAAGTACATCCAGCGGCTGTCCATCTTTCCATACAACGAGATTTCTCCTCTAGGCGCATGGTCAGAGTCATCGCACAACCTTTTCCGTCTTATCACGCTCCACGGGCGAAAAGCTCTGGACCATTTTCGCAAGCAGCATCCTGAAACGTGTTTCTACCACCTTTTACATGGCTCGGCTTCTACGACAAAATTTACCAGACACCATGCTCATTTTGCAAGAAGCTACTCGCAAAGGAGAGTGAAGAGTGGGCGTATGTGCCTCCGTCCTTTCGTGACTACACCAACGGACAAGCTTTACACTCCAAATGTTTACCCATTGAGTAACCAAAAACCGTTGAAACTTTCAGCTAGCACCCTAATTGGTCTTACTTTGGTATTAAAGCAACGAAACACAAGGAGACTAACTCATGTTGCACATTAATTGACGAAATTACTCGAGTCTGATTGGGAGCAAGCGCTTAAAACGTGGTGGTTTGGCTCCGTCCGATCGTTTCGTGGACGGCATCTGCAATTTGACTTTACTTTCCACCAAGTCGCGTGGTGTGATGCCACTTGCCGGGAGTGGCGGTTGGTTAATGGTGAGCTCGTTCTTATTCACTAGGCCCATCGCATCGTAGGCCTCGGCCACAAACGCTGTATCACCGAATCAAATTCGTTTCGTTATCTTCGCCGTTAAGACCACAAAATAATGTTGCAACTCACCTGCAGCAGGAAACGATGGAATTGCGTCAGGACTCGTTTTACGCATTTCCTTCGGGCAAATCAAAGCAGACACTGTGTGACGCAACGAGATACGGCTTGTTCGACCCATATTCTGGTTGATAAAAATGTTCGCAGCCTCTTGCATCTCCTTGGAACGCTGTAGCACAACAACGTTATCAAAATGCTGCACTCCTTCAAAGCTAAACACACGAACATTCTATCTACCTCAACTATCAATTTTAACACAAAGATTTCCGAAGCTTCGGAAGTCAGCAGGCGAGCGCTGTATGGACGACACTGGACCTTGTCCAGCGTTTCCTCTACAATAAACTTGCGGCCCAAACGGTCCACGTAAATCCATCCGCAGTGATCAAAGCGCGGTTGCAGCTGCAGTCGCGTAATCCATGTGTGCAGCGCTGCTAGAGGCTGCATAGCCGTAAGTTTGCGCTGAAAAAAAACGAGATCACCCGTCTCCAGCGTTTCCATTATGGTATCGTCCATGGAGCCGGGGATAAAATCAAGTGCTTCTCCACCTGGAGGTGCGCGTATCTGGCGGCGCATACGCGTAAGCTTTGCGTTGCCGCTCCAGGCCGCCAGACCGACCAACGGGAGTAGTACCATCGTCCTTGCTGTCATGGTCGACAACTATGAGGTAAACGATGCACTTTTCTGTGCTTTTAATAGGATTTGCAACTGTGATGTAGATTAATACAAGTTGTACAAATTTGGCATGCAATACACTATAACAACCAGCCCCAACGGTCAAGTCCCGATTTGTAGGTGTCTGCAAACACAGTATTGCGATGTAAGTGGTAGGTTCCAGAACTCTCAAACGTTTTTGTTCTCCTCAGTGTAGCCATATTTCTTAGCGTCCAGTCATTAATAGTAGGTGTTATACATAACGGGGCCGTCAAGGCCAGCCATCTCTTGCTTTAGCCGCTGTTTTTCATGACGGAAGAAGGAGATGTCACGCAGCACGTCCTGGTCCAACGTTGAGCACACAGCACCCGTACGTGCAGCCAATGCTGCTGATGCCACACCGTTCCACGCCAGCTGCTGTGCAAGTTGAGATATCATTGTCACAACGCTTCGGAGCTCAGCCAAAAGCTTTAGGCGGCGGTCATCCTTCAATATCTGCATGCGCCGGACGGCACCCGCAAAAAGCACCATGTTGACCCGCGGCATCTTCGAGGTCACAGTAGCGCTAGTCACTGGTGGCGGCACGGGCTTAGGCAAGCGCATCGCAATTAATTATCGGATCTTGGGGCCACCGTTGCCATCATAACCAAAAGCGCTTTATCGTGGATGTGGCGTGAAGGTGACGGCAGCATAAGAAGATTTACAAGGGCAAATGTCTCTGTTCCTCGTTTGAGGCCAGAAAGTAGTGCAGTAAAGCCATTGCCTTTGTAACCAACGCTTCTACTGCTTCAAGTAAGCGCACAAGTTTCCAACACGCATCCAACGCCATTTCAAATGCAACTTGGAGCTGCTGCTTTAGACTTTTTGTGATCATTAACGTGCTGTTGCTTGCTCCTGCCAGCAGCAGGAAAGGTCACTTGTGATTCTGCTAAAGCGTCATCCAGCAATGCAATAGCGTGAGTTTCACAAGAACGAAGATTTTTTAGCGCACGAAAACCACTGGTAAGGTCTGAGACGACACTTGCACGGGCAATGCGGTCTCTAGAGCAAACAAACTATCCAAGATCGCGCCTGCAAGCATTTGGTGAAAGAGATCGTGCGGTAATAATGTCTCCATGTAGTAAAAAACTATCTCTGACTTTTGCACTGGGTCAAACGACCGTGTCTGGCGACTTGCTGGCACCGGGACACTTGTTTCCCACATTCGTTGCCATATATGCTCGTGACCTGGTTCATAACGCATGCGCTCCGATAGCATACCATGTCGTTGAAACCACCACACTCCCCGTCTTTCGACTGGCAACCCAAACGCCGCTTGGTCAATTGAAGTCTCAAATGGAATTCAGTCTTTTGGAGAACACCCTCAGGATGCTTCGATGCTTGAGGCGGTAAAAGCAAAAAAAACGTTTATGTGTTCGATCTAGTCATAAAATTCGTCGTCGCTTGAACTGCCTTCTGCTTCATTCTCGCCTTCTTCACTCTCCACTACTGGTGAGCTGTACGTAGTAGCATCTTCTCCGCCAGTACTTTCTCGTCTCTTGTAGTCCGTGCTAACCCTGCCGACTGAAGATGGCTTTAATTCTTGAGCTATTCTACAGTACAAAGTAAACAAATTTAAAGATTATGTTAGCCTAAAGCGCTTCATTACTACTTCAGCACAAGATTTACAAACAATATTTCTATCACCTGAAAATGCAACAGTTAAGCAATTGAAGCTTCTGGTGCAAAAGGCACTGGCGAAAGTCTAGTGGAGGAAGCTGTATCGCATTTGATTCCAGTAAAAACAATGTGTTTAAGAAATGCGGGCTTGTCTTGTGGTCACCGCCACCTTCATCTGTGCTGGTGCTCTTCAAGTTCAGCAGCATTTTGACACCACATAAACGTCAGTAGTCATGGTGTAATCATGCGGCAAGAGAAACCTTACCATGAACGGAAGTAGTTCCTGTTTAAGCCACCGTTCTCTCAACGCTTTTACAAATTTAACCCGCGATAACGACATAGAGTTGATACTGTCTGCTCATCACACACCGTTCGTAAGCGCATCATTATGTTTATCATGCAGGACGATATAGCTGTAGCTGAATGTACTTACAAAGTTGCGACATACTTGTCGCCAAAATAGACACAAGTTCCCCCAACGGTGCACCATGCTGAATTGAAGAGATGCTCGTCATTGCAGCACCTACATTGTCACTAAGCCTGCGACTGTATTCTTCATTTTCACCACCATCTTTATCTTGTTCGTTTTCGCCATCATTGAACAACTCTAACACAATCCGCCGAATCCCTCTAAGTCTGAGCCTTTCCACGAGGCAGCCGATACAAAGCTTGAAATGGCATTGCTGAGCACAAAAAAACAGCTGCACGGGCGGCAGATATGGACTCCGGAACGGTTGACAAGAGCTGTGTTTGAGCAGCCTCTCCGCATTGACCGGCACTTGGTGTGTTTAGTACCTTAGATGGTGAAAATATAAGTGGCATAGGAGGCGACAACTCGGATCCCATAATGTCCTTGTGCAACTCTCTAGAGTTGGAACAGACTTGCACAAGGATTGCAACTCGCTTGCTGAGCAGCAATCGCGGTTTCTCTGGTTTTCAGACGTCAGGCCTTGGAAACGCACGGTCAACATTCATAAAGGTGCTAAAGAAAGATCCAGTGTTGAGTGCACCGCGTTGTCTACGTACATACCTTCACGCAGCTGTGGCCAGCTGATGTAAGATCCATTTTATCCAAAGGAGAAGTGGAGCTACCCAGCAATGGAATAGGGTGGTTTTCGCCAAAGAGCTTATTTCTGATTCGGCGACTTTGGTTATTAGTCTCAGTCAGCTGCTGGGACTCCAATGATCTCCATGCTCGAGGATTCTCCGATATCGCTACTTCACGTGGATCATTCGTTCGATTCCATGAAAAGGCAAACGATGCTGATACTGTCATACTAATTGCAAGGTCCTCCGACTTATCTGTCTCAATACGACACTTTTCTTTCACGTGCGGCGACGACTGCAACTTGATTTTGAAAAAGTCGAGCAGACCGCTGATGTAGCTATGATTGAAGTTCAGTTCTGAAATAGATTCTGTTTCAAACGACATTGACACGTTGCCTGGGGCTTCAGGAACTGCTAATCCAATCCACGTGCCATGAGACGGCTCAAACACTGGTACAAACGCGGGAATCGTGCGAATTACAGTTGTTTAACGCCATGTTCAGCGCCGACAGCAGCATCCCTCTTTCGTTCTGATTAACTGAAATATCTGCCATTACGCCTTGAAAAAACCCAACCCCCACCCCCCCCTCCCCTCTTCCTCCTTTTTTTTTTTTTTTTTTTTTTTTTTTTTTTTTTTTTTTTTTTTTTTTTTTTTTTTTTTTTTTTTTTTTTTTTTTTTTTTTTTTTTTTTTTTTTTTTTTTTTTTTTTTTTTTTTTTTTTTTTTTTTTTTTTAATAAAAAAAAAATAAAAAAAAATTTTTTTTTTTTTTTTTTTTTTTTTTTTTTTTTTTTTTTTTTTTTTTTTTTTTTTTTTTTTCTCCCCCAGAGGAGGGGGGGTGCCTCTTTTTTTTTTTTTTTTTTTTTTTTTTTTTTTTCTTTTTTTTTTTTCTTTTTTTTTTTTTTTCTTTTTTTTTTTTTTTTTTTTTTTTTTTTTTTTTTTTTTTTTTTTTTTTTTTTTTTTTTTTTTTTTTTTTTTTTTTTTTTTTTTTTTTTTTTTTTTTTTTTTTTTTTTTTTTTTTTTTTTTTTTTTTTTTTTTTTTTTTTTTTTTTTTTTTTTTTTTTTTTTTTTTTTTTTTTTTTTTTTTTTTTTTTTTTTTTTTTTTTTTTTTTTCCCCCCCCCCGCCGGCCAGTGTTTCTTTTTTTGCGTTTTTTTTTTTTTTTTTTTTTTTTTTTTTTTTTTTTTTTTTTTTTTTTCTTTTTAGTTTTTTTTTTTTTTTTTTTTTTTTATTTTTTTTTTTTTTTTTTTTTTTTTTTTTTTTTTTTTTTTTTTTTTTTTTTTTTTTTTTTTTATTATTCTTTTTTTCTTTTTTCTTCTTCCTCTTTTTTTTTTTTTTTTTTTTTTTTTTTTTTTTTTTTTTTTTTTTTTTTTAAAAAAAAAAAAAATTTTTTTTTTTTTTTTTAAAAAAAAAAATTTTTGTGGGGGGGGTTGTAAAAAAAAGTTTTTTTTAAAAAAAAAAAAAAAAAAAAAAAAAAAAAAAAAAAAAAAGGGGATATTTTTTTCAAAAGGCAAAAAAAAAAAAATTTTTTTTAAAAAAAAAAAAAAAAAAAAAAGGGGGTTTTTTTGGGGAGGAAAAAGGAGAAAAATAAAAATTTACCGTTTTTTTAGATTTTGAATTTGCAAGGAAGACTTGACTAAGGCAGCAGCAAAAGTAGTAGGAAAAGGTCCGAGTTATAGAAAAATCCATAGACGAATATTAGAAGAACGTAAACGAGAATATGAGGGAATAAACTGGTCAAAAACATCTATCCAGAGTTGTAAAAAAACTGGTTCTTACTATTTTTTAAGTAAGTTTATATCGTAGTACTCCTTCCACACCAGCAAGCGTGGAGATTAGCAGCGTAGCAAAACTGCTTACGCGCGAAGTGTAGGCAAAGACAAGCTCCAGGAGCTTTACGTGTTAGGTTCAATAGCTTTCTCGAAGCTAGATTATAAGCTTGTGCCATCTTGATTGCAAACAAACCACGTTTCTATGAGACCAGTATCAACCGATACTCTTTCCTTCTCCTATGGAATACATACTAGCAACAAATGCTACAAATAGCAGACTCTTATCTGATTATATTTAATGTTTAACTTCTAGCACAAATATAGAAATATCGGCTCTATACATAGTGCTAGTCCCTATAACTTTCTGGCTCTGTAGCATTGTAACGGGGTACAGGAAGGAGTGAATTGTACATACACACCTGCCACACCAATGTGGTGTGGCTGTACCTTGGGTACAAAAGTAGATGATGTGACCGTACCTGAAGTACGAAGGGTCGCATCATGGCAGAGAGCCACGTGGTCACTATTTACTTATTTTAAAGTATCGTGACTATGCATGTTTGCATAATAGCTAGGCTAAAGAGCCAGTAATTGTGACTAGCACTAAGTATAGGATAGGTGCTTCTATATTTAGTGCTAGAAGATAAACATAAAAATAAATCAGTTTCAAACCTGCTCTGTAAGCCTTACAGCTCGAACGTACCATTCCTCCTGAGGAATTAGTATCTTTGATACTAGTCTCTCTAAGACCCGGTTGTCAAATACCGATAGGCATAAGCTTACGAGCTAGCATAGGAAGGTTTAAGCACCCTAAGACGTGGAAGCTCTCTAAGCTTGTCTTCCTCTGCACATAGTGCATAAGTAGCTTTGCTACAGTAGTTTGGCTACTACTTCTGCACATAGTGCATAAGTAGCTTGGCTACAGTAGCTTGGCTACACCTGGTAGCACTTGTAGTCAATCCCGCACCTGGGTTTGCGACTACTTCTCTGTGTGAGAATGGACATCGAAGAGATGTCAGCGGTTGGCCTGTCACAGGCACAACAGGAAGGGTTGCAGAAGCTGCTCCCTATCCTTGGCCCTAAGGGCGTGGAATACCTCATCGCACAAGGCAAAGAAGAGATTAACAAGCGTATTCATATGCTTGATGAATACAATAAAGCTCTAGTCGAGCATGTAAAGGCACAGATGCCTTCTTCTGCGCCTTCGCCCATGGCGACTATGGCGCAAGAAGTGGTCCGCAGACCAAAACCCATACAAATGGAAGTCGATAAGTTCGACGGCAAAGAAGGTGACAACCTTATGCTTTGGTTCCAACAGGTGTAGTCGGCTATGTTTATAGTCGACATCACCTATGAACCGTACCGTGTGGGCTTTGCCACGGGCAAGTTAGGTGGCTTAGCCAAACAGTGGGCATTCACATGTGGTGCATCACTGCAAGATGCTTTTCCCACATGGGCCGATCTGAAAGTTCAGATGACCCGGCAGTATGCACCGCCAAACCAAGCACACCGTAATCGGTCGCGGTTTTGGCGTGTCGCCAAGGCAAGCGTGGAGCTTGCGGCATATGTACAAGAGTTGAGAACTCTCATTGCTGCCATGGTCATAGACCCTATGCCTGAGGCAGTGACCGTCACGGTCTTTATGGAGGGCCTCCGAGTTGGCGTTGCCAGAACGGAAGTCTTCCGGGTAAACCCGTCCTCATTCGAGGAAACTGTTGGAGTGTCATGGAATGCCGAGACCAACTTCAAGGCCGCTAGGCCTGCCACTTATAACTACTCGTCTGATGGGTCTTCGTACCCATGGACTGTAGTCAAGTGGAGGATGAAGAAGCGGAGCTTCAAGCTGCGGAGCAGCAAATTGTGCGCAGATGTTATATCTGCAAGAGCACAGGCCATTTGATGGCAAAATGCCCTGCAAGAAAGGCATATTTGGCCTCGAAGGGCCGACGCCCCATGTGTAAACCTTCTGGTTTGCCGCGGGGAAACGGCGGGACCCAGTAGGCGCGGGGCGCCCTACTGGGGAACGAACTGAGTTCTGTTGAACCTTTAAGAGGTAGAAGTAAACAGGGCCCAGCCCCAAAGAGATCCAAACTCTCAAAAATGGAACGAGAATGCAAGCCAGGCTTGCTAGTCGTCAAAGGGACGATTAAGGGCTATGATAAGCCATGGATCATTTTGATCGATTCGGGGGCATCGGGCAATTATGTGCGCCGTGCCACCGTGGAAGGTAGTCAGCAGTATGCTGAAGCGCTTGTAGCGCGTGAAAGTGACACAGTCACACTTCGCTTAGCGACTGGTACGCGTGTTACGGTACCCAAGTCTCGATGGAGTTAGATGTAAAGTTCTTGGACTTTAACAGCATGCAACGCTGTTTGGTCTTAGACCTGGATGCGAGGTATGACCTCATCCTAGGCATAGCATGGCTAGAACGTCATGAGCCATGGATTGATTGGAGGTCAAAGACCTTAGGCGCAACGCGCAATGCTCCTGGTGGGGCTCTGGAGAGTCATGAACCCACCTCTGCTAGGAAGCAAAAGCGTCTTTGGCGCGGATATTGGACCGAGTCGGTCAATATGTTGGATGTCGAAATATCCGACTTTGTAGACACTGTAAGTGTCGAGGACAATAGTCCTGGGCGAGGCCCAAGGACTGTCGATAGTGTGGTTGAGAACCCACTAGATGGCACATATGACATGTGTCATGAGAATGATGTTACATCATTAAACACCGTGAGTGGTGTTGGTGGCTGCAAGCCAAGATGTCAGGACATGAGTCCAAGTGACATGAGTGACGAGGAACTGACCCTGGAGGGCCGGGTGAAGTCACAAATGGATGTTATCTTTGAGGACAACGAGGTGCATGCACCTAACGACGAGGTACTGGCCCTGGAGGGTCGGGCGAAGTCAAAAATGACGGTTGTGTTTGAGGACAACGAGATGCGAGCACCTCATGACGAGGCATTGACCCAAGAGGGTCGGGTGCAGTCAGTAAACGAAGTGGTCTTTGACCTTGAGGTGTGTACACCTGTTGACGCTGAGGCGTCGGATGCTGAGAGCATCATGAGTAGAGATGATGATATCGTGAGTGACGGTGATAGCGAACAGCTATATACACTCGTCAATGGTTTGACTGGGGAAGTTGGAAGATTTGGGGGCCCTTTCAGCTGTACCCGCAGTAAGTGCTCTGTTAGAGCTGGACGAGTTGTCCTTTGCCGAGTTTGGCATTGCCTTACAGGCAGGCGACATCGCCGAAGTGGTCGTTATACGACCTGAGGAGGAGTTGAACTCCTCATCGCTTTTGGATAAAACAGTTCTTGAAGGCGCCAAGAAGGCGCTGAATGCGCGGAGGGGATCACAGATCCTGAAGGACCCTTCGGATCCTTATTTTCCTTTGTTGAAGGAATATGGAGATGTTGTCTCCAGAGAACCTCCTACGAGTGTTACCTCCGGATAGAGGTGTACGTCATGAGATTGACTTGGTTTCAGGAACCAAATATTGTGTGACGCGACAGTGGCCGCTGCCACGAGAACAATGTGACCGTCATTGACGAGTTCTTTCGTGCAAAGCACGCGGCTGGCATGGTGCGTGAGAGTAAGCTTTCTCCTGACTCTACGCCT